AAACCAGAGAACGCTCCGATTAAAAGCGTGGTAAAGAAACCAAAAGCAGTGGCGACGCCACAAGAAAGACAGGAGGAATTCGCAAACACCATGGAAGCCAAAATGGAACAAATTGAAAAAAAATTGCAAACTAAGCTCGAACAACAAGAAGTTAGATTTGAGGCAAACATAGAGGCCAAAATTGAGGAGCTAGGCAAGACGATATTGCAGAAAGTGCAGCAAATGGTGGCTGATTTCGACGCCAAGCTAGCAATATGGGTATCGCAGTCAAGTGGTGGGGGCCCAGTTAAGACGTCTTTTAAACCGTACGCTAGGACCTCGGTGCCCACCGAGGGATTAGAGAGCCTGTAACGCCGCCATGGACAGACAAAATAGCTACACGATTTGGCAATGGAATTGTCGAGGATATAATCGAAAACGATACATTTTGCAACAACATCTTAAAGACACCAGCACCCCGGATGTTATAATGGTGCAAGAAACGCACGGGCTGGTCAAACTGTCGGGATATAAGTCATTCGGCAGTGCTGATGGGGAGACAAAGGTATTAGCAACGTTGGTTAAGCGAAATCACGCGGTGGTGCAACATGAGACGGAAATCAAGGCAATAAATCACATTCTCCTCGAACTCATACCCACGCGAAAAACAGAGGACAGTCTTTTCGTATTGAATATTTACAGCAGTCCTAAATGCAGAAAGCACAAATTCCGCACGCTGTTTCGAAAAACCCTCGCTATAACGGGCAACCGGGCGCTATTGATTGGAGGAGATTTCAACGCCCCACACGGTGCATGGGGATACAGGATCGAAACACAGAAAGGCAGGAACTTGTGGTTGGACGCACAGGAGGAGGGCCTGACGCTCGTGACCGATCCATCCATTCCTACAAGAACAGGTACTAGCGTTTGCGCGGATACCACGCCAGATTTGACGTTCACCAAAAATATACTGGACACGCAATGGACCAATACGCAACATGACTTGGGAAGCGATCATTTTATACTTGAAATAACGTTGAGGGCAGGGCCGCGGAAGGCAAAAGGCAGACAACTTAAACTTGTCGATTGGGACAAGTTCCGAAACATCAGAGAGGAGCCCGACGAAATGATACGGAGTATTGAGGAATAGACCGAAAAGTTAAAACGAGACGTGGAGGCCGCTACGCAAACGGTGCCACCGGAGGCGCAGCTAGAGTATGTAGACAATAAGCTTCTCCACATGTGGGAAGCTAAGGAAGGTTTACAACGGAGATGGAAAAACCAAAGGCACAACCGGACACTTCGTAGAAAGATAGATAAATTGAACAGAGATATAGAGCAATACGCCCAGCAGCTGTGCAGACAACAGTGGGAGGAAAAGTGCAATGACATGGACAACCAGATAGGAATGGCGAAAACGTGGACCATCCTTAGACATTTGTTAAACCCGGACGGAAACAAGTTGGCAGAAAGGCACAATATTAATCGGTTAATACAAATATATCAAGGTACAGAGCAGGATTTCCTGAATGAAATCAAGAAAACATACATCTCTCAAGCGCTTCCCGTTACACACCCTGATTACACAGGGCTAGCAAATGATGATTTAGACAACGAGATCGGGGAGGCAGAAGTGAGGGCCGTCTTGCAAAAACTCAATACTAGATCAGCACCTGGACCAGATGGCATAACTAACAAAACGCTACGCAATTTGGATGACGAGTCCATAACTAAGTTAACTGAATTCATTAACAAATCTTGGAAGGCAGGACAGATTCCGCAACAATGGAAGACGGCAAAAATCGTGTTAATACCCAAGCCAGGCAAGCGAGTGCAGATTGCGGACTTGAGACCCATATCTCTCACATCTTGCGTGGGGAAACTCATGGAGCACGTGATTCTGGAGAGGATAACTACCTATCTAGAGGACCGGGATGCGCTTCCACCCACAATGATAGGGTTCAGGAGGAACCTCTCAACGCAAGACGCAATGCTACAGTTAAAACATCAGATTATAGATAATCCGGGAACAGCGACAAAGGCCATTCTAGGGTTAGACCTCAAGAAGGCCTTTGATAATGTAACCCATGCAACGGTGCTAAAAAGGGTAAACGATCTAGATCTGGGACAACGGACGTACAATTACGTGCGTAATTTCCTGACGGGAAGGAAGGCAAAGATCATGATAGGGGACCTAGTTTCAGAGGAAATTGAGATGGGCAGTGCAGGTACGCCGCAAGGCTCGGTATTATCACCTATGTTATTCAATCTGGCTCTAATTGGACTGCCAACCAAACTCCAAGCAATCGGAGGACTGAATCATACTATATATGCAGATGACATCACCCTATGGGTGAGAAGTGGTAGTGATGGCGAAATAGAGGAAACGCTTCAAACAGCAGTCGAAACGGTCGAGCGGTATCTGGAAGGTACTGGGCTAGCCTGCTCTGCGGAAAAATCAGAGCTGTTGCTGTACAGACCTACTCGTAGAGGTCGCAAACCAGGCAACTGCCTGCAAGGTCTTGCTCATAGAGAAGAAATACAGTTAAGAACAGCCGATGGAAAAACCATACCCATAGTCGACAGGATCAGAGTACTGGGTCTGCTCATCGAAGCCAAGGGCAACAATGGAGAAATCCTCAGGCGATTGGATGCAACTGTAGCCCAAATAATGAGACTCATAAAAAGGATAGCAACTAAGCACAGTGGCATGCAGGAAAACACGATAAGGTTGATACAGGCATTCGTGATTAGCAGAATAGTATACGTAGCGCCATACTTAAAATGGCAAGTCGCGGAAAAGATCAAGCTAGACTGCCTCATTCGAAAAATATTCAAACTAGCTATAGGGCTACCGATTAGCACAAGCACCGACAAACTGTTACAGTTATGCCTGCACAATACAATAGATGAGCTTATTGAGGCGCAGCGTACGGCGCAATATGAACGTCTCTCTAAGACACGAGCAGGAAGACATATTCTAGAGCGACTAGGTATAACGTATCACACGCAACACGGCGTTAAGGTGGACATTCCAAAAGAGACCAGGGAAACAATGATGATACCACCCTTGCCAAAAAACATGCACCCCGAACACAATAAAGCTAGACGAGAGACAAGAGCAAAACAAATACAAAAAAAGTTTGGTAATGACAAGGACGCAGTTTTCGTAGACGCTGCTCGATACAAGCGCAAATGGGGGTTTACCGCAGCCGTAATCGATAGCAACAAACGCTGTATGACATGCGCGACGATACGCACCACAAGTACCGAGACAGCGGAAGAGGTAGCCATAGCGCTCGCTGTAGCTCAGACAAACGCAACCGTGATAGTCAGTGACTCTCAAACGGCAGTGAGAAACTTTGCCAACGGCCGCATCTCCCCGGAGGCACTACGTATTATCAAAGGAGGGTGTCGAACAAGCCCCAGAAATACATATATTATATGGACACCTGCTCATGCCATCGCGGGGGACAGCAACAATGGGGCTGTACATGACGCAGCTCGAGGGCTCACCGACCGAGCTGCCCTCTCAAGTGCCGCCCCAACCTCCTCCGGTGATTACGGCGTGGCAGACGAGTGGGAGTGGGAAGACAGAATGACCAGATACAATGAAATTACAAAGCATTATAGATTACAGAGGGGCATATTCCCGCCACCTCACCCAAAATTAACAAAAAGACAGTCTGTCGAATGGCGGCAGTTACAAACTAGGACATATCCGAATCCTGCACTATCGCACATTATATATCCTGATATATACAAAACGGACAGGTGCAAGCGTTGCGACTCCAGAGCCACTCTGGAGCATATGTTATGGGAATGTAGAGGGATTAGTACTCATAACAAGTATGCGGCCTCTGCTGACAGCCTTCGCGCGCGCTGGGAGGCCGCAATGCTCAGTTCCGTCCTCGAAGACCAAATGTGGGCCGTCCAGCGGGCCGAGGAAGCCGCCAGGATTCAAGGACTCCTGGCCGTACCCTAGGCGGGGCCAATCGCCCACCCCATCTACTCGCCGGACTCTGAATAAAGTTCTTTCCTCCTCCTCCTCCTCCGTCAGCCACCACAGAAAAAAAATTGCACGAAAGTTTTAACAAGTCTGTAGCAGATACCACTCTTCTCCAAAGAATGACGAAGGATAACGTAGTGAATGTTAGCCTACTACAGAAAATTCATTAATATTTATGGCGTAGCGGATACCCAGCAGTGTGCTTGTAGCATCCCAAAGAGTGTTTAGATGAGGCTCTGAAATGCCGCTCTTCTAGCTTACGCTGCGACTGTGCTGCGCGTTCCGCGCAAGCCCGGCGTTTTTTTTTTTTTCATTTCAATTGCTCCTTTGCTTCATCGGGATCTTCCTACTTCTAAATGTTAGCATAAAGGTAGCGGTGTGTTGCACACATCGGTACAACTTCCCGGTGCTGCGAAAGCATATACAGTGTGTCCCACGTAACTTAAGCCAGAGTTTAAAAATATGCCGGAACGCGTAATTACGACACGACCAAATGCATGTTACTCACCGTTGCCTGCAGTAAGACTATTTTTTTGTTCTCAAATATTGTTCAATTAGATATGTTTAAAAACTTAACTTTTCAAGAAACGAAGATAGACAAGAATTTCAATAAAAAGTTGTAGATCGGTTTTCAAAACGTCTGATTAGGCAGTTTTGAACCTTATATATGTTAGGAATTAACTAGTGTTTTTCTGCTAATTGCAAATGCTCGCGAAATACAAAAAAAATATCGCGTGACGAACCCGCTCGCGAGTCAGTGCGCACGACGATTCTAGTGCTCGCTAACGTTCCACGTACGAACAACACGCTTCCATCGCACCAGTTCACGACAGTGGTAAACAGTCACAGCGGTTATCGTTTTTTGTGGCCGATAGCAAAACGTGTTCATCGTAAAGCCACCAGCATTGTTGTGGCCCTGCCGATACAGCAAAATGCATGCAAATGCTATGGTCGTTCGTACGCGGAACGTTATTGGAGCACTAGAATAATTGCGCGCATGTATACTGTAGTGGAGGTGTCAGACGCCTTTTATTTGCGGACACTGTCGCTTGCAGTCGTCCATGGAGGGTGCTGATCTTCTGCGGCCCCTTGACTGGTGGCACTGGAAGCGGAAGCAAGGTCATCCATGGCTGTAGACGAGATGCCACCTGCGTTGTCGTTGACAATAGAGAGTTTTAGTACTGCGGAATGGTGCTACGTACGCACCACGCAAGCGCCTTGCGTTACGTGGCATCGTTTGCCCCTAATCGGCTTTTAGTACGCCGTAGTACCCGCGTACGTAACGAGCGTGAAGCGTGCTGCGCCATCTGGTAGATCAAAATGGAAGCACGAGTTGTGGACAGCCAATGTGAGCCAATCCAAGTGTTATAGCCAGATTATGGCCATATTTTAAGCCACAGAGCCGGTCGGTGCTTGCCTTCGATGCCGCCATTTTGCAAAACGAAGTCTCGCGCTGTCGCGAACTTGTTCGAGAGCGGCGCGCTCACCTCATACGTACGCGCGCACGCATCTCATGCGTGCGTACGTAGCGGCTGCGTACGTGACGCGATACGTGCGCGTTGCGGTCTGCGCATGCGCACTACGCAGAACGCGGCGTCCTTACGTACGCAACGCCGCCACGTACGCAGCGTACGCAGTACTGAAACTCTCTAATAATCGCGAGTAACACAGTACGAAAATTGCGCTATCTCCAGCTAAAGGCAACGATGTGTAGATGCGAAGCAGCGGGCGCTAACTCTGACACTGGCGGTGGCGTACTCCGGCACTCTTCACGGCGTTGCGCAGGAGAGAAACCTGGGGAGGCGCAAAGCACGCAGTGATGAACCGATGTTTCGTATCGGAACATGCCAATCGCTGCTAATGGACAGTGAGAGACGATGGACTCCGATTGGACACAGAGACCCGCAGCGTGCTTTTAGTTAACGCGCACGCTGCGAATTTTCGTCCTTCAACAACACCCAGGAGCTATATCTTCCACCGGCACTACCTTCGAGGTCGGAATTCAGTGCCTTTATAAACGGCGTGGTCAGAGAACGCTTGTGCAGCGCGAGAAGTGGGTTTTTACAGCGTAAGCTGTTATGAGATCCCAACTCGGGTCACGTGCGGTTCCGTCGTTGTGCGCCACCGCCGGTATCCGTAACCACTGTCACCAGGAAAAAAAAAACCCAGTAAGGGAAAAACACCAAGGACACAGTGGGGCGGGAACCCGGGTCCGCTGCGTGCCAGCCCAGTGTTATACCACTGAGCCACGCTGGCGCTTGGGACGTACGCAAACTTGCCTTAGGCAGGCTTGATGTCGAGAAAGGAATTGCGTTAATATGAGTAATAAAACGTTTTATAACAGCAAAGGAACAACCAGGTGTCACACAATAAAAATAGCGCAACGAGTGGGTCGTCCAATGCTCCAACCCATTAGAATAGCTTGTTCTTCATTACCTATTCATTAAGTGTGGCACATACCCACATCATGCGTAATTCTTTATCGTCGTCAGCCACTGCGTGAACAATTGGCACAAAATTCCTTGCAAGTGTTCAGTGGAAATTCTTTGAAGTGTTCAGTGGGTTCAGCACACATTTCTCAGAAGAATGACGAATGATAGCAGAGTGAATGCTGGCCTACTATCCAGAAATTATATTATTAATGCCATAGTGCGTACCAAGCAAGTGTGCTTGCAGCAGTTACCCAATGAGTGTTTAGAAAAGGATCTGAAAGGTCGATCTTCTCGCTTTTACTGTGACTGTGCTGCGCCTTCCGCGCAGGCCTGGCGTTTTTTTCACTCGAGAATTTCGCTAGCAGATTCTGACTGTGTGGTGGTGGTAGTGGTTAGAAGAGGAATAAAAGCACCTAATTTCTGGAGCCCAATAGGGAGCATGGCACAGTGCCTGGACTGCCTGTGTCTGCGTCGTGAGAGGGAGTGAGTATAGAAGACGAGAAGGAGGGAAGGGGACGGGCATGTGCAGTGGTCTAGTCGCGGGGTGGAATGCCCAGAGGAAGCGGAATGCCTCGAGAAGCGGGGGAGCGAGCGTAGGTTAGCAGGCGTTCCCTGCGTCCGCGTTGTGAGGCGAGAGAGGAGCATAGGAGAGGAGAGAGGGGAGGAGACGCGCATGCGCCATGGAGGTGCTAACGCTGTTGGGAGGTATGTCTAGAGGAGAGAGAAGTGAGAGTGAGCGCAAGCAGGTGGTAGGAGAGAGGTGGAGAGTTGAACGCGCGGTTGTTGGAGAGAGGGAAGGAAGAGAGCTGCGCGTGCGGTGTGTGAGTGCGGACGCCGCCGACGCCGTGAGATATACGTCCGAGCAAGAGATGCTTCGCATCTAAAATCGTAGTTTCACCGCAAGGGTGAAGTAATGAATGCGATAGCAACAGATTGTGTTGTACGAAGTAAGGCTGTCAACTAACTTTTTTAGATCCAATCTCACGTAACGTTACAAAATATTGGTGTAAGATATTACGACCGCTCCGGGAATGAGAGAACGCAGGACGCTAAAGGATGTACGAGACGTCCGCTAATGCCTGCCGAGATAGTGAGCGCCATCAGAATTGAAGTTATTTATTTATTTATTTATTCATACTGCAGACTACAAAACGTGGTCAGTAGCTGTAGCTCAGTTCTTAGTAGCTGCTCGAGCAGGCCACACCTCCCCCTCTCTCTTGTCGTTCTTTCATGCTCTTTCAAGACGGGTAGGGCGTTTACTCTCTGCATAAGCAGCATTGTATTGCAGGCCTTACACACGGGTGGATGTTGTCCCACATGCACCCTCAGAAATGGACCGGCTTGTTCGATCGCTAGTTCAGCCGCGTACGTCGCCTGCACGAACGTGCTTTTACCCGCGGGGAGAACATGCGATGAGAGTGAGGGTGTTATAGATTTGGACTTTATTGAGGACATGGCGGCAACGGTAAAAAAGAACAATAATGTCAGTTTATAGAGAGGAGTATTGGTTTTACAACAGCATGTACAGTGTACGGTTTCAAGCAGGACTTGAGATTAACTCCTTTAAAATCTCACCTTCGTCTCCTCGCTGACTTGAAGTGGTTGGTGCAGTGGCCTGTAGCATGGCCTCCGAGGTTTTGGACGTTGAATCTTGCCCTTGTCTGGGAGGGCTCTGCTCACTCTGGATCGTTCCAACGTCGTCAGACTTCTCGCGTGTAGAGTTCTCAGAGCTGGCACGTCCTCCGAGCGTCGAGGTTTGTGTCTTGTCGTGACGCGAGATGTCACTGTTGTCGTCGTCGTCGTCATCGTCGTCGTTTTGCTCGTCCAGCTGAGAAGACGAGTTCGCGTACTTGGAGCTGTGGTCGTGACCTTTCACAGATCCGTGAGACTCGTTCCCGTTGACCGTAGACAGCGTTACATGAGACGTTTCGCCTTTGCTCTGACTTGCTGACAGTGTCGTCGATGCGTTGTCGACCTTGGCGAATTGAATGGGACCTTGTCTTAACGTTGAGGAGCTGGCGTTGCTGTGTCGTAGAAGCGAGTCTGTCACGACAAACGCACTGGTACCTTTCAAGTGTGTTGCAGAGCCCTCAGTGCTGAGGGGCAGGTTCAAAAAGAAGCTTATAAAGCCCGTAGGCCCATCAGTTACTTCGTGTCTTTCTTTTGGGCTTGGTACATGTCCACTCACACTGGACCTGCTATCGGTCTGGCCTCGCGGAGATACACTTTGGACTGTAGTTTCCGTTTTGTTGTCTGTAATATAAACAAATTAATCTTTTATTATTGCCTAACATGTTATTTACAAGGTATAATGTTGGGGGGTGAAATATACAGACGAATATAGCGATGAAACTGGGTTGTTGCCTTACCAAGATGAAATAGCAGGATGTTTGGCATGACAAACAACAGCATTACACTACAGTAAGGCAAGCAGATGTGTTTACTACAGTACCGAATAGCACTTCGAGCAATCTTTGCTAACAGGGCCTATGGTGTCGACGAAGTACGGAGATAGCGTTATTTTTGTGTCCCGGCAGTTCCGAATAAATTTGCAATGTGCTTTTCTTCCTACAAAGCTTCGCGTGCCCATCGAGTGCGCGTACAAGTTACCTGATGTTGAAAGCATGAGAGTTCAAGACGATTGGCGCACTCTTCTTGAATAAAACTTAACTCCAGCTCGTGCACTTCGAAGGTACTAGCAGTAGGAGACTCAAGACACGACATGAAACTTTCGTTTCTGTACGTGAGGCCGCGAATCTGCTCGTTGTCTGGCGTACGTCTTGGCACCCCAACATCCCATTAGGTTGAGTTTGCGCTGTTTGGTTCGGTTAATTCGCGGTGTCTCTGAGGCATGACATTACGAATGGTATGTCTAACCGGAAGTTTTTTTTTTATTGATTCGTGTATCTTGCATTAGGATCGCTTACGCATGAAGCGAGTAGTATCATCGCTCGGTTTCATCTGTGTCTTTGCGTGTCCTCGTTCTCGCGCTGTTTCGCACCTATGAAATCTTACCAATAAGCTTAAAATCATACCTCTTTAAAGCAATATCATCTCTGCACACCGAACTACAGAGAAGTGCATGTGAAAGCGTCGCTGATGACGCTTTTGGTGTTTTCTGAATGAATTATTGAATATATATGAGGGAATAAATAAGGTAAATTTCGCTTACGTGGGACAACGAGGTGGTTGTTACGGAAGTCTGACGAAGAGTTGAAGTCTTGGTCGACGCCCATGGCGAGTGCTTTGTCATCTCCCGTCGGCAATGAGCCTCGTGCTCCCTCTGGAGTTAGTGCGCCAGCATTAAAATCAAGCACACTATGCGTAAGGAAGTTATTACTCCTGAACCTGGTGTACTAATTATAAAATAAAATATACATGTGATAAATTAGTCAGACTGGCAGTCACGGAGAAAAAAAAATACTGCTGCGAAGGGCTAGAGGTGACTTTGGCTAAACGAATATAATAAAATGCCACTCCTGTCGCACCACACTAAAGTGATTTGCCTAGTCCGGCGTCTCAAAGCATGCTCAAAATGAAGGTTGCATGACTTCAGAGTCAGAATCCTCTGTTTCCACAGAATGTTTCTTATCGAGGCGTGGAGGCAGACATTTTCTTTCGGGTAGGAGAAAGGGAAGAGGAGGGTGTTCAAACATATTTCACGTTCGTTCGTGCGGTTTTTGTGTCCGTGTACACATAGAAATGGAAAATTGAGAAATTGCGGCTTAACGAAGTTCACATAAGAAATTTCATATAACACTTAGTATTATAAAAGTAGTTTTAATGATTTCATATAGGCTTCATTCCATGCCTGCTTTCGTGTCAAGTAATATCGCTCTTGTTTTCAAGGAAGTCGCCTCACTTGGATACGCTTTTGCGTTTTGTTCGGTACATCTAATCAAACCATTCAGGTCGCCCTTGCATGGTAGCCGTTTTTTTTTACCCATTATCCTACGAGCTATCACCTTGTTTCACGTGGCAGCCATTTTAGGTGTGTGAGTGACAAAAAAAAAAAAAGACGTATTATTGCTCCATATTGTTTGACACTTTTTTTTGAAATTGAGCGAGGTCTGCTGGAGTATGCGTTTCTGTGTTAGTCCTTACTGAAATTGTTAAATTTTTTCGTAGTTTACAGCTGGCCTGCTTAGCAAGCTATGAGCACCCACACGAAGAATATCTAGAGCTGCGTTTTTTCTCGTTAGGGGCTGAAGTACGACACAAAAATGCGATGACGCCTATGTGGGCTAGCATTGTTACGAGAGAGCATAGACGCATGCACACACGGGAAACCATTGTTATAAAGTGCAAAGTTACAAATCGGGCTAGTTGGTAATCCATTATTTAACTTCTCGGCGCGAAAACTTCAGGAGACGAACACAAGAGACGAAAACGAGCGCTCGTCCTCGTCTCTTGTGTTCGTTGTCTGAAAATTTCGCTCTGACAAGTTGAGAAGCGTACTTCTGACATGTTTCACGCGAGTTTCGGCGCGTTGTCGCCCCGCATCAGCGCATAGACCGAGCTAGAATACGCATAAGTGTGCGCGCGTTTCCATTTCAGGCAGGGTGGAGGTTAATCGCAGCACGCCCCCCCCCCCCCCCCCCCCGTGTAAAGTCAATGTATGGGGCAGACATTGCGCCCCCCTTCCCTCCTAGGTAACTAAGAAAAGGGCGGAGCGCCCCCCCCCCCTTTTTTTTTTTGCATCACGTTGCAACGTGTATAGAAATATAGTTCATAAACACAAGATATGTGATCGTCCACAAATTAAGACACACAGCGCAGACAAAAAGTGCAAATGACTGAATTAACTCTCGGACGCCTTTCGCGTTGCTTATCACTTCAAATAACTTCCGCCGCGGTAAAACAGTGTGCTTAGATTCTGACCCTGAGGTCACGGATTCAATTCCAGCTTAGCCCGTGTGCTCAGTATTGGGTGCACGTTAAAGAATCCCTTGTGGCCGAAATTTCCGGAGCCCTCCACTATACGGCGTCTCTCATAGTCATATGGTGGTTTTGGGACGTTAAACCCCACAAATCACTCGATCAATCAATTTCAGCTTGGGTGGTCGCATTCAGAAGAAAGCGAGATGCTATAAGGCCCGTGTACTGTGTGGTATTAGTGCCCGTTAAAGGTCGTATGTGGTTTATAATTCCACAGCTCTACGCTATGGCATGACCGATTCATGTCCCGATTTTAACACTTTAATAATAATAATAATAATAATAATAATAATAATAATAATAATAATAATAATAATAATGTAAACGCTACAAAGAGAAATCGCGGAAATCTAAGAAGACGTCGCAGAGCAGATGTTCAAAGAAAATAGTTTAAATCAACCTGGTCAAATCTTTATTTTACCGGCCTGTACGAAATGCGACAGCAGTGCTGACACATTTCAATGACATCATACTGCAATTTTCGTGCAAAGGAACTTAATATGGTGGAACATTGGTGGATGCTGACCAGGCCTGCCCGCGCGCCTGCGCAATGGAGCCTTTAGCTATCATGCAGGAAGGGGTGTTCAGTCACTTGCTAGGGCTTGACACTAAAAAGGCAACTGGACCAGACGAAATTCCCAGTGAATTCTTACGACGGTATGCCGAATGGTCGTCCTTTTATTTAACAATCATTTTCAGAAAATCTCTTGAAACATCCTCATTACCGCAAGACTGGCGCACTGCAATTGTAAAGCCTATATACAAAGCTGGCAATCGGCTTCATGTGAACAATGATCGCCCCGTTTCACTGACCTCTGTGTGTTGCAAAATCATAGAACATTTCATAGCAAGGCACATTATTATTTTTCTTGAGTCAAAAGAGTTTTTTTATCCCCATCAACACGACTTCAGGAAGGCGTTGTCAACTGTTACTCAACTGGTAGAAACAGTTCATGATTTTTATTTATCTCTCCAAGGTCAACAACAAATAGACGTCATTTGTGTAGATTTCGCCAAAGCATTTGATAAAGTTCCTCATAGCAAATTAAATTTTAAGCTTAGCAACTAGGACTTAGCTCAGATATACTAAATTGGATAGCCGCGTATTTGGAGAACCGTCAACAAAAAGTACGTGTAGATGATTGCACATCTAGTTCATTGAAAGTACTGTCTGGTGTCCCACAGGGGTCTGTGCTGGGTCCTTTGTTGTTTTTAATTTTTATAAATGATATTTCCGTAGTTGTCGAAAGCCCGGTTAAAATCAAACTTTTTGCAGACGATTGTTTAATTTACGCTCCTGTAACTAACGCAAACGACCAAATCAAAATTAATCGCTATCTGCAAGCCTTGCATAATTGGTGCACCCAGTGGGGGATGGAAATTAACTTTTCAAAGACTACGTTCACCCATATAACTAAGAAAAAATCCGTACTCGCATATGATTATAAAATCGGAAATAGCCTTCTGACCAGAACACACAGCTTTAAATACCTGGGGGTGACTATTACCAGCGATTTGGGGTGGCACACTCATGTTGAGGAGGTGTGTTCAAAGGCCTACAGGAAGCTGTTTTACTTGAGGAAAAAACTCGACGATGCCCCTAGAGATGTCAAATTACTTTCATATAATACATTTGTTCGCCCTATTTTGGAGTATGCGTCTTCTGTATGGAGTCCTCATCAGTAGTCACTGAGAGATAAAATAGAAAAAATTCAAAGGCTAGCAGTGCGCTTCATTTGCTCGCGGTACCGAAGGACAGAATCCGTCACAAATTTGTTAAAATCATGTGCGCTAGAACCCCTGCAAGTGCGCCGCGAAAAGCAAAGGTTAAAACTCCTGTTTCAAATTATAAGAGGCGAAATCAAAATAAATAAAGACACATACATACAACCTGCACCCAAACGAGGAGCTCGGTTGAACCATAGTCACCCAATAAGGCCTTTTTGGACGCGTCTGGATGGCTTTCAAAATTCTTTTTTTCCGTATAGTATAGAAGTGTGGAATATACTTCCAGAGTACGCTGTTACTAGCGCAAATGTCAAAGAGTTTGAGTGTTCGCTAGAATTGTACTACCGGCAACATGAAACGTAATGTCTGTTTTGTCATTGTGTATTGTTTTTGTTTTGTGTTTATATTCCTCCCTGTAATGGCCCTCAAGTGAGGGTTACAGTATTATTAAATAAAATAAATAATAACAAATAAAATATTTCTTCGATTTGAGCATTCCCAAACCACGATATGGTTATGAGGGACGCTGTACTGGAGGGCTCTGCAAATTTGGACCATCTGGTGTTTTTTTACACGAGCCTCACGCATGTCACCTCCAGCTAAACGTGGCCGCCCGGCGGACATTCAAACCCACAACCTGCGGGAAAGCCTTAGAGAGCAGCGTAACCACTAAACCACCGTGGAATGTGTAGATATTAAAACGAACAATGTTTTATCATAGACCGTCACATTGACACGCAGGTTAATGCAACGGGGTGCACCACTAATCGTTCATCCCTTACCTACTGGAGCTTCGCTACTTCCGGAAGTGGTTTGGTTTGATAATGCCGGTGCGACAGGAACAGGCTCTGGATAAAGGCGAATAATTAATTTTGTCGTATATTCATTTTTCACGTACGTAAACGACACAATCTAATGACGTTGACGAACTACTTCGACACTGAACTTCAACTTAAAAATTGTTATCTAACAGCAAGCATGGAATCCTGACACACTGTTCAGATTTTCTTCTGAGTCACGCAACGGTAATTTCAACCGATGAATTACTGAAATGTGTCTGGAAATCTCAACTATTATGGCGCGAATGAAATTTTATTAAAACTACGCGAGGTGTCCTACCTGACTACAACTTTTAATAATATATACAGTTGAGTGGTGAAGCTTCTATGTTCACATACTGCGGTTCCGTTATAGTAAGACTGAACAAATGAACACGGGATATATACACACGTTGTATGTGGCTTGAGTTACCGCTGACTGGGGACTATCGGCGTCAAATGAAACCAATACAGCTGGAAGCACACGAAATGAAAGGGCGCACACATATTTGCAGTGCTGCGAAAGAGATACTTGGTATAATGCCCTAGGTTAGCCTATATGCAGTAACTTTATGCCAAACTGGATGCGCGCGTCTGTACATATACAGATAGGGATGACAGAAGGGCGGGCACTATACACTAGTGCGAATGCTTGCCGCTGTTGTAGTTTTATTTGACACCAATAGTATTTTGCTTTTGTTACCGTGACTTTTACAGTACTTTTTATGATTGCATGTGAAGGAAATGCGTATGTTGATTAAGGCTTGCGGTTTACTACAAGTAGAGAACAAAAAAGCGA